AAGAGTGAAGAGAACAGTGAGACACAGAGATATCTCCTAGAGGGAAGAAGTAACCCAAATGGTAGCTGCTCCCTAAACACTTGGCCAAATGTTTTAGTCCCACATCAACCAACATTTAGCATTCAGCCCCTTCACTGGCTTCTGCAAGAAATCCAGGTACACCAAGGATTTCCTAATTTCCATACATTTTTTTTTGTGGGGTCACAGTGAGAGTCACATTACACAACATACAGCATTTCACTTGGAAAGTCTCATCTAACATCTCTCGAGGGTTCCCATATCCCTCCTGCCAGGTTTTCCCTGTACCTTTCACTTTTTTCTTTCCATTATTTCTGTCCCAGCTTCTACTTCCAAATCTGTGTACGTAACTCATCCTGAACCTTAACAAAACAGGCCCTTCCAATGGACACAACACACCTCTCTAAAAAGCAATTTAAGGGGCTTCCCTGGTGGCGCAGTGGTTGGGAGTCCACCTGCCGATGCAGGGGACACGGGTTCATGCCCCGGTCCGGGAGGATCCCACGTGCCGCGGAGTGGCTGGGCCCGTGAGCCATGGCCGCTGAGCCTGCGCGTCTGGAGCCTGTGCTCTGCAGCGGGAGAGGCCACAGCAGTGAGAGGCCCGCATACCGCAAAAAAAAAAAAAAAAGCAATTTAACAATCATCTTCTCATATTTGAACAAGCCTCTTGTAGACTCAGTATTCATCACAAATGAATTATCAAGGCATTTCTTCCAAACAAATTCACCATTTTCTGCAAAAACAAGAATTCTTGTGCCAACTACTAAAAGACCGACAATTTCTCCATCTCAATACAAAATCAAAAATACAGATGAAAAGTTTTCACCTTAGTAAAAGAAGTATAACTGTTATAAGAAACAGAACCAATCTTCCTAAGAAATAGAACATTTTTTTAAAACATAAACTACCATTGGCAAGAATGTGGTGAGACAAAATCTCATATGCTGCTGTGTAGAATAAAATCACTAAGAATATATCTAGAAAACAATTTATCAGAATATTCATGCTCTTTAACAGATTATTTCTACTAACAGAAAGCTATCCTGAGAAAATAATCAGAGATATGGCCAGATAGTCAATGATGTCATCGTAATGTTATTTATAATAGGAAAGCCTGGAATGTTTACAAAAAGAAATGGCTGAATAAATTATGCTATGCTACCATCTTATAATAGAATTTAATAGAGGTGTCAAAATAATATTTTAAACTGTCATATATTCATATAAGAAAAATATGTTAAATAAAAATTTTAAAATAGAATAAATATGAGTATTTCAAATTCACTTTTATTTTATTTATTTATTTTTTAAATGTGAGCAGTTTATTAGTGTTGCTTTGAAACACTATCCATTCCTTTGAGTCACTCATCTGACACAGCTGATTACCCCCTCGGTTGTTTTTGTTTTTTGTTTTTTTAATTTATTTTGGCTGTGCTGGTTCTTTTTTTTTTTAATTAATTAATTTTTTTGGCTGCGTTGGGTCTTCGTTGCTGCACACAGGCTTTCTCTAGTTGTGGCGAATGGGGGCTACTCTTCTGGTGGTGTGCAGGCTTCTCATTGCGGTGGCTTCTCTTGTTGCGGAGCACGGGCTTTAGGCATGCGGGCTTCAGTAGCTGTGGCATGAGGGTTCAGTAATTGTGGCCCGTGGGCTCTAAACAGCAGCCTCAGTAGTTGTGGCACATGGGCTTAGTTGTTCCATGGCATGTGGGATCTTCCTGGACCCCTGCATGTCCCCTGCAGTGGGAGGGTGGAGTCCTACCCACTGGACCACCAGGGAAGTCCCTCAAATTCACTTTTAAATTATATATATACACACAACCATTTGTGTGTCCATACACACATATAATTTTACATAGATAAAATTAGAAGGAAGTACAATGAAATTTTAGAAGTAATTTTCTTTGGGTGTTAGGATTGATTACTTTTTCTTCTTTTATTCTTTTCTGTAATGATCAGAAGCGAGATGAGGAAGGGAATGTCGTCATTTGCAAAGCATAGCAATAAGACACACATGCTGTGCTGCTATTGTGGCTCTAAGGTCTACCACTGACATAAGTTGATCTGTGGCAAATGTGGCTACCCTCCCAAGTGCAAGAGAAAGTATAACTGGAGTGCTAAGGTTAAAAGATGAAATGCCACTGGCACTGGCTGAATAAAGCACCTAAAAATTGTAAACAGTAGATTCAGGCATGAATTCCCTGAAGAACATCACCTAATCCCAAAAGAGCAGCTGTTGTAGCATCCAGTTCATCCTTAAGGGTTTCAATAATTAGTCACTCAACAAATGTTTAAAAAGAAAAAAATCAAGTTTTCAACCATAGCATTCATAAGTGGAAAAAAATGTTTCTTTTTTTAAAAGCAGCAGCTACGTTTCTCTATAAACAGGCATTTTTAATTTTTTTGACACAAGAAATAGGCATTTTTTAAAATGTAGGCTCTGATATATATAATGTATACACTCTACACTGCTGTATTCTATGACTATGGTGAACTCTGCATACCCCTGAGTTTCCATTATAACCCCATGATGAGGAAAGTTATGAGTGAAAAGGAAAGGAATAAGTTTGCTGTTGTCCTGATTTTTACTTCGTAACTGACTTTAATGACACTAGAACATAAGCTAATGTGAAGGGAGGGAACTTTTGTGTTTTGTTCACTGCTTTATCCTCAGCAAATATTTGTGAATAAATCTCCAATTGATTTTTAAAAATTATGAATCACATTCCTGTTCTACTATATTCTTTGTCTTGAATAAAAAAGTAAGACAAAGAGGAAGTGCTGACTTTTAAGTGATGAGTTGGGGAACCCATTAAAAACAAATTAGTTGTGGTTTTGTTTTGTTTTTTCCTGCCCCTACAAAGGGGATGATGCTTTCTCTCTAGAGAAGCTCATCTTAGGTTACTCTGAAGTGTTCTACTTTAGTACTAACTTTCTTCATAAATTGTATCCTGCTACTCTGATTAAATCATCTCGCCATCTCTTTTATTTTTCCTATATCTTTTCTCTCTGTGTATGGCCTTCCATGCACAGTTGACCCTTGAACAACTTGAGGTTTAGGGGTACCAACCACCAACAGTCAAAAATCTATGTTTAACTTTACAATCAGCTTTCCATAACTGCGGTAACCACATCTGTGGATTCAACCAATTGCAGATCACGTAGTACTGAAGTACGTATTTACTGAAAAAAATTCACACATAAGAGGACCCGTGCAGTTCAAACCTGTGTTGTTCAAGGGTCAACTATAATTTCTTACTCTTCTTAACTGTGCCTTATATGCTGGTTTAACATATTATTTAATTTTTAAGTGCTATTATGGGATTTTTCATTTCTGATATTCTAATTCATTCTTATTTTAATGTGCCTTGTCATTTTTATAGTCTATTACTCTTTATTTATATTTTAGAATCCCTCTTTTTTTAAACATCTTTATTGGAGTATAATTGCTTTACAATGGTGTGTTAGTTTAGGCTGTATAACAAAGTGAATCAGCTATACGTATACATATATCCCCATATCTCCTCCCTCTTGTGTCTCCCTCCCACCCTCCCTATCCCACCCCTCTAGGTGGTCACAAAGCACCGAGCTGATCTTCCTGTGCTATGTGACAGCTTCCCACTAGCTATCTATTTTACATTTGGTTAGAATCCCTCTTCTATTTATTAAATATATTTATCTTATGAATTGGATATTTCTAATAGCTGAAATATCTGTAGATCTGTTTCAGTTGTGATTTCTGCTGACTCTTGCTCATAGTGTTTTGATTTTTACCCCTTGTATGTTTTGTGATTTTTTTTAAAAACATGAGTTTATTTGTTAGATTTTTAACTATGATTATTTGACAACCAGGTTGATAATTCCTTCCATGGAGGATTTGTGATTGTTTCTGGCAGGTACTGAAGAGTGTTACAGACGCAAGTCTATTTTAAATTAAAACTCTCCATTTGTAGAGTTTAAGGATCATGAAAATAGTATAAAATAAGGCATCAAATCCAAGTGAATGTAAGCAGGAATTATTCAGGGGGATTTTAACTCCACCCAGAGCTGTATGCCTCTCCAGGATGGTCTCTGATAGGCCCCCTTCACTTCGCAGAACGCAGGGAATTTTCCTCTGTCTCCATTCTTCGCCATGCACGTTTCTATGCCAAAAGAAACTGATGGATGCCCCCAAAGTATTCAGAGATTTCAGCACTCGTTTACCTCACAGAATATACTTGCTTGGTTTCTAGCCCCAGAAAGTTTCTCTTATTTTCTTATAGGTTCATCCATTCATTTTAAATGATTTTTAAAATACTGAATCTAGTATTTTACATATTTGGTGGATGTCTTGTCTATCATACTGCCAGAAATGGAAGTCTATTTAATACTTCTACAATTGCTTTGTAAAATTTAAATCAGGATATTATAGTTACTCCTGTAAATTTTATTTTAGTGTGTTAACTGTAGTCTATAAGTCTGTCAAGGGTACTTAAAATCTTGACTGAGTTATTATATTAGCTTACCTTAGAAGTTGTGTATCATCTGCAAATTTTCTTCAACTTTCTCAGCCTTCACCAAAGTCACTGATCAACACAGCTTCTGACAAAAAGAAAAGCTTAAAAATTAATTTAAAAAATCTTTATAGAAATTTCAGTTTTCCTTATTATCATGTACATAGAATTATAAATTGAATTTCCATCATAATCATATACAAATGAATCAAATTAAAATAGGAATCTCTCCCTACCCCAATTACTTCAAGTGGCAGACTTCTTAAAAAGTAGTACTGAACCAAATAAAAATATTTCATCATTAGGGAAAACCAGTATAAATGTGAAGGGGTGGCTTAGATGAGGGGAACTCCAGCACCACTGAAATCTCTATCAGCCCTAACCTTCCACAGGAAGAAACCACCTTATCTAAACTAGTATCTTAAAGGCCAATACAAAAAGGTTGTGCAAAGCTTAGAAGAGCTTTGAAGTGTCATGAAGGGAAGCTTTGAAAGGTTTTTTGCTTTTAACAGCATCATGAAAACCCATGCCTGCTAGATGTTTTCTTTTCTGCTTTGCCATAGTTTTAGTTCACATCTGTCACTAATTTCAGTCATCAATGGCAACTTTTATAAAATTTTTATCTCCAACATCAGTATGAGGGCATGTATGTGTGCATGTGTGTATGCTTACATTTTCCCATTAGAAATAAGAGAAAACTTACACTCTCTCCTTTAATACAATGCTCTCGCATGAAGAACGTATAAACCACTGACTTTGGGTCTGCATCTTTATTTTCTGAGCAGCAACTACTGGTTTAAACAGAACATTTAGCTCTGGATGTTCTTTCTTCTCAATATTTGATGTATATCCTGCAATAATGTAGTAGAAAAAACACAGGCTTTGGAATCACATAGATCTGGGTTTAAATTTCAACATCCCTCTTAGGAAAATAATATCACAAGTCTCAACGGGTAGCTGCACGAGCCAAATTATATAGCATATATATAGTGCCCAGCACAAAGCCTGCTACATAACCTGTACTTTGTTATGTTAGCTGTCCTTCTGTGTAATTTTGCACTTCATTTCCACTTTGCTCAATCTATCAAAGGACTTTCCAGACTAAATTTTCTAAGTCACAGCCCTGATAAACTACTGTGGTTTTGCTCAACAATTAACATTTTGCAGCACTTATTTTACCCAACAATAGACATAAAATACTTTAAAAATAGCAATGCATGGGCTTCCCTGGTGGTGCAGTGGTTGAGAGTCCGCCTGCCGATGCAGGGGACACGGGTTCATGCCCCGGTCCGGGAAGATCCCACATGCCGTGGAGCGGCTAGGCCCGTGAGCCATGGCCGCTGAGCCTGCGCGTCCGGAGCCTGTGCTCCGCAACGGGAAAGGCCACAACAGTGAGAGGCCCGCGTACCGCAAAAAAAAAAAAAAAAAGCAATACAACAATTATACTACTGAATATACCCCGCTAAGAAGATACAGTTATCCCTTGGTATCCATGGGGGATTGGTTCTAGCTCCAGCCCCCCATGGATACCAAAATCCACGGATGCTTAAGTTCCTTATATAAAATGGCATAGGGTTTGCATATATCCTGTGCACATTGCACATATACCTTAAATCACCTCTAGATTACTTATAATACCTAATACAATGCACATGATATATAAATAGTTGTCAGTATGGGGTAAATTCAAGTTCTGCTTTTTGGAACTTCCTGGAATTTTTTTCCCTGAATATTCTCGATCCGTGGTTGGTTGACTCTGCAGATGGAGAATCTGAAGATACAGAGGGCCAATGTACAGTCCAAAATCTATGTTCTAAAGTCACTAAAATTGTTCCTTTTCTTGTGTGGCTATGTCACCAAACTTCTATATAGTTATGTAAATTTATTTCCTTTGTAGATTTTTCTTCTCTTTCTACCTTTTTACTTAATTTAATTTTTGAATATGTAAACATACATGATTCTAAGATTGAAACCATGTAAACAAGTTATAATTAGAGAACTCTATCATTGGCACCTTTCCCATTCCTTCCTTCTACATATTTAATATATTACTCTATATACTCTTCAGTGCCTTTGTTTTTTCCACTTTGTAATATATTCTGCAGATCACCCAATATTGGTACATGGAGACTTTCTACGTTCTCTTTATGCCTTCTAGTGAAAAGGGTGACTTGGAAGGGACACCATCAACCTGAAGAATATTCCACTGTTGCATGTACTTTAATCAGTTCCCTATTAACGGGCATTTTGCTTATTTCCAATCTTTCGCTAATACAAGTAATTCTGTTGTGACTAAATTGATACAAATGCCAGTTTATATTTTATGCCAGTGTGTCCTTAGAACAGATTCCTATGTCTGGGTCAAAAGACACACGCATATGTGATTCTGCCAGATACTACTAAGTTCCCTCCTGGGCTTTGTGCTTTTGTATCCCCACCAGAAATGCATCAAAGTGCCTGTTTCCCCACAGTCCATAGAATATTTTATATAACTACAGATTTTGGTGAGAAAGGCTTTAGTGTAGTTGTGGTTTTTAGAATAGGTTTCATTTGTATTTCTCTTTGTATGACTGAAGTTGAACATCTTTTATATGTTTTGTCATCTGCATTTTTTTCCATGAAATCTATTTTCATATCTTTGGCCTGTTTTTCTACCAGGTTGATGGTAATTTGCCTTGATTTTTGGAGGTTATTTTCATTAAGGAAATGAGCTCTTTGTGCTGTATATTCAAATATTTCTTCCCAGTTTGTCACTTGTCATTTGACTTTGTTCATGGCATTTTTCACCATGTAAATATTTTTTTAATATAGTGGAATTTATCATAGTTTTAATTTTCTTCTGAGATTCAGTCATAGTTATAAAATCCTTGGCTTACAATTTCATAGACTTTAAATTTGTTCCATGCCTATTTTGCTTTGTATGTTGCCATTGAGAAGTTTGTTGCTAACCTCTTCTTTCTGCCTGGAAGCCCCGAAGTACTTTTCATTATCTTCAAAGTCCAATAGTTTTATTAGGACATGACTTAGTGTTGACTTCTTGGGATCAATTTTCTCAGTACACAAGGAGCATTTTCAATACATAGATTTAAATCTTCTGTTACTTCCAGAATGTTTTCATGGATTTAAGTTTAAATATTGCCTCAGCTACTGTTTTTTTCTTCTTAGGAACTCTAATCTTACATATCATCTATATAGATCATTTTCTCTCTGACTTTTTACCTTTCTTCATTTAATTTTCATTCTTTTGGCTGTCTTCATATTTTTTCTCAATGCCCCTTATATTCTTTCCATTAGGTATCTTGGACTTTAGCTTCATTTTAAAAGATGATTATTTTTTGTTTTCATTTCGTTTCCTGAGTTCAGTAAATTCACCTTCCATTTCTTCCCTTCTTTTTTTGTCTTGGGGTTCTGAATTTGAGACTTTATCTCTGCAAATGCTTGTTTAAGGGTATTTCATTCAGTTAGGAGTATTCAATTCAGGTAGTTTTCTTTAGCTCTTTAGTTGAGTAAGCTTTGGGGGAGACTTTCCATCAGCTGAAATATTTTGATTCTCATTTTAATTTTTCTACTTATAGTAACCTTATATGGGTGTTGCCTGCCATTTTCTGTTCATTTTGAAGGGTTTCAATTTTCTTAAACTAACTAACAACGGTACATAGACAGGAGTGAGGGATTTGGAAGAAATACTGGATTTTTTTAGTTCAATAGCACCTTCTGTTGGTTTAATAAAGTACAGACTTTTAAAAATCAGTGACTCCTTTTTGGGTAAAAAAGGGTTCATCTATCTTCTACTCTGTTTCACCAAGATCCTTAATTTCTACTACCTCTTCGTTCTCTTTACCACCAAGCCTCCAGGTAAATGGTGACCCTTCCAAGTCATTCTGTTCCCAGAAGCAATACCTTTCTGAGATGGCCTCTTTGATCCCGTGTACTTTCAAGTCCCTTCTGTCTAAGGAGTCTCAAACCTTAGTATTTCCCTCCTTAGGGTGGGGTTTTCTCTTTTTGGAGTTATTTTACTTGCATTCTGCTGACGCCAGTTCCTGCTTCCTTTTTCTCTCTTCTGAAGTCTCAACCTCACTTGTCACCTCAGCATGGGGTCCAGAGCTGAGTCTGCTGCATTCTAGTTTATCTGTCTACATAACCATAATTTGAAATTACATTAGTTAGGCAAGGGTGGTGGTGATATACTTTGCTCTCCTTACAGATCTGTATGTTTTTTTTGGTATGTTTTTAAAAAAATAAATTTATTTATTTATTTTTGGCTGCATTGGGTCTTCGTTGCTGCGTGTGCTTTCTCTAGTTGCAGCAAGTGGGGGCTACTCTTCGTTGCGGTGTGTGGGCTTCTCACTGTGGTGGCTTCTCTTGTTGTCGAGCACGGGCTCTAGGCATGCGGGCTTCAGTAGTTGTGGCTCACCGGCTCTAGAGCGCAGGCTCAGTAGTTGTGGCACATGGTCTTAGTTGCTCCTTGGCATGTGGGATCTTCCCGGACCAGGGCTCGAACCCGTGTCCCCAGCATTGGCAGGTGGATTCTTAACCACTGCGCCAGCAGGGAAGCCCTGTATGGTTTTTTAAAAGGATGTATGGAGAGATTTGGATTTAGACAGTTGCCACCATCCTACAGAAAACTTGACCCAGGTTTAATTTTTAAATTTATAAATTATTTTCTAGTCTTATTACATGTGGTCAAAATTTTGACTTTTTGTATTTTGGAACTGATATATTCTTTGTGGTCTAATACATAATAGATTTTTATAACTGTCTTATGTGCATTTGAGAAGACATATTCTCTATTAATGGATTCAGACTTTGATACAAATCTGTAAGATCTACCTTACTGATTATGTATAATAATGACTAATTTTCTTGGTCCACTTAACCTGACATTTTGAGAGAGGTGTGTTAAAGTCTTCTATTATTAGCAGGTTTCTATTCCTTTTTACATCTAGTAGTTTTTACTTTATGAAAACTATTGATGTGTCAATAAAATAAAATAGATATTTTAAAAAATCTTCATTGTAAATATAACTGTTAGCTTTATATGGGCTATTTTATAATATCCTTCATCTTAATGCTTTTTGAACTAAACTCTGCTTGTCTGATACCAAGATGATGAACCTTGCTTTTTTTAAAATTTGCATTTTTCTGATGTGTTTTCACTCTTCCCTCTATTTTTGTTATTTTAAAATTATCCTTCATTTCTTATGAACTCCTTTTATTATTCATACTTTTTACAACTGTATCTTTTGCATACAGCGATCATTAAGTTGAGCCCATATACATTTATTAATACACCTGATATATTTAGTGTTGTGATAATGATTCATGTTCTATTCATTTTGTGTGTACAGATAAGTACATATAGAAAATAAATACATATAGAAATAAAATACATATAGAAAATGTGTGCATATCATTACATAGTTCTCTTTGCTCTTTTTAGGGTAGGTATTTCTTTTAGTATTTAGGAAAGTTTTTGTTATTGGGGTTAACTCTATAGTAATATCTTTATACAATACTCTTCATTCCCCTCCCCTCTTTTTAAGATACCGTTAGTTCCCTGTGACTAGCAGTAACAAAATTAGTAACTTCCTCTTCTCCCCCACCATCTAGTTTTGGTCACTGGTATTAATTTTATTAGTGTTTTATCTTACACATCTAAGTATACATACTTATTTATAGTATATTTATGTCCATCAGTAAGCTTCAAGTGCTATCCTTTTCCTTACAGCTAATTCCTATGAGGCAAACAACCACTTTATTCTACTTTTCACTTATACTCCCCTTCCCCCCTCCCTTTTTCTGTGGGCTATGTTATTTCTACATCATCAGATTATACAACATTTACATACCA